GCCTATAAATTGTCATATAGTTTATCCTGTTCATTTAACCGTCAAACTTCAAAAACATAATTTTCCAAAATCTCACCTCCAAGTCTATGACTCTCTTCCTATGACCTGTAAGACATCCTATGGTCCATAGGTTGGACTCGTAGATCCTCACTTCAATCAAATTTCCGCATTTCTTTCTTTCCTTTTTGACTCTCTAACTTTTGATGTCATGCCTCGAGGCTATCCCTTGGCGCGACACAGTGCTTAGTATCACAAGTGATCCTATGCTAACCAATGCACTATGCGGAAGCTAAAAACAATTAATATCTAAAATAGGGAAAAAGACAACAAGTCTAAATATATCAAATATATGAAGAATATAGAGATGACTGAAACAACACTTAACAACTCAAGTAGAATCTATAGTTGTCTAAAAACCTCTAACTGATTTGAGTTTTTAGGACATGCCCCAACTATCTCTAAAAACACTGAAACTTAAATGTAAAGTTGGAAAGTAAAGCATGTATATTGGCCTCGAACTATGAGGACTCACCACTGAAGTTGCTGAGTATGGATCGGAAGCCGAGCTAAGAGCAATCTAGATGTTGAGAACCTGAACCTACATAATAAAATGATGTAGCACAAAAATATGCATCAATACTTTGAATGTATTGAGCATGCAGGATACATGCTAAGCTTAACAATATAACAACTAAACATGGAGATAAATATACTGAAGCATAAATGAAAAATGAGTTGGATGCAATGACCAAGAACTAATCATGATCTTTTAGGTCACTCATGTTTAAGAAATTACCTAGTAATTTCACTTATGTTTCTCCTTCTTTTTTCTTAGTCAAATAGATAATATTATACATGAATTATAGAAGGTTAATTAGTTTGTCGAAAATGCTCTTTAATAAATGTTTGGAACACATTCTGACCCTAGGTAATGTTTGCATAAAAAATATTTTTTCTAGTAAAGGTAGTTTTGTGGTGTTTACTGCCAAAATCCAGTAGGTGGAGTGTCACTCATGTGAGCATTAGTCCACTAGTGAAATGCCACTAACAGATTATATATCTTCATCTCTCATTAACGAAAATATGTTTTGAAAGCCCAATTTTTAGGCGATTTCTTGAGGAATTAAAATGCTCAAGCTGGGAATAGCTTTGGGACATCGTAAGGGTCAATATTCTCGCTCCTAAAAATTGTAAGTTCTCATTAAATTTATTAATTTTACTAAAAACGGGTTACAAAATAATCATATTGATGTTAGGATAACTATTGTGATATGTGAAATATTTTGGAGGATGCTCAAAAGAGAAAAACCCATAATTTATATGTAGAGTGTATAAGGTATGCTACGACTTACTACTATTAGACCTTTTGTGTTGGTTATTCTAGCATGTGATTTGCTAATTTTTGGGTTGGTAGTTTGGCATGATTTCGTTGTTGTTATCATTATTGAATTGATTTAGCCTTATTTTGTTTGTTTTAGGTAATGTTTTGGGTTGAGCATGGTTATTCAGTTGCGAATAGGGTAGGGTGACCACACTATTAATGGTGTTAAGACTTAGCCTAGGTTTGGGTAATGCATGCCTTAGATGTTGACTTTGGTGATTGTGGGCCATCTTTTGGAGAGTGAATTGGGTTAGATACGACCCTTCGATCTAAGTTATGACCTTTTTGGTAGCACTATTGGTATGGGCAACTTTTTAACTATGGTGAGATAACTACCTATTCTCGTTTAGGGTCCTACTCTTTTTAGTGTCAAATTTATCAGATGTGAGATCCCGGGAGGGCTAGATAATGGTGTTGTTATTCCAATGTAAGATTCAGAGATATGCTAGGGTATTATACAGCTAATCTAATATGAGATTCTGAGACTTTGTTGCTTGTAGTCATTTCGATGTAAGATTTTGTTACTGACTTGGTTTTTGTAACTACTCCAGCGTAGGATTTTGAAGGATGTTAAACCTATTTTGGGACTATTCCAACGTAAGATTTGGGAAAATGCCTACTTCTTATGGTCAATCTGATGTAAAATTTTGGGGTGGAACTAGCTTCTCCGATGTAATATTCTATGGGATGCTAGGTTCTGTATAGTTGTTTCATGTATGATTCTGGAATATACTAGAAATTGTTTGGCTATTCAACGTAAGATTTTTGTAAGATCTTGGTTCTAGTGTGAAGGATCCGATGTAATATTATTGGAAAGCATATATGTTCTTCACTAAGTTGTGTCGGGTATTGTAGCTGTTGTGTGTACCCGCCGATCATGTGGGGGTTCAAAATGTCTTATAGGCCTATATAATTCTATTTAGGTTTTAGATTACCTCACTAGTTTCATTATTTATCTTAGTATTCCTAATGTGATTAATGTCTAGTTAAGCCTCTACTATTGCCTTATTACTATGTTATTTGCAAGTTTATTGTTATGTTATTGCAAATACGAGCTCACTCAGCCTATGATTCCTACTAAGTATTTGTTGTTTTGATACTGATACTAAACTTTACATCTTTTTCCTTAATGCAGATTCGAGTTCTAGTTGACCGCCTTGATTCTCATGCTACTAAAGTTGGTGTTCCGGAGATTGAGGGTGAGTTTCTTGGTGTTCGTGGTTGACTCATTTCCTTATGTACATTTATGACTAGTCTTTTGTATTATGAGATAGTATGTATATTTGGCATATGTCTAGTCTTGTACTCAGTCTTTTGTAGTAGCTTTGTACCAGCATTCATCAGGCTTTGGAATGGATCTTTATATTTTTGTCATCGTTCAAGTGTTGTTTATATTATGGTCTTATTTTTGCTACTTTCCCTTAAATCTGCTTTGTTATGCTCTTGTTGACTTCTGTTGCTCCGTAAATTAGGGTTGCGTATCTATCGGTTCAGTTTGATTTTAAGTTTATCAGTTTGATTTATTGGTTATCGATTTGTAGACATGTTAAATCATTATGAAACCAATAAGATATTGATCTGTCAGCTATCAGTTATTGAGCGTCAATCTAAATGTTAAGATTTCACTCAAAAAAAATCATTGAATGTCACTTAAAAACAAGATGACAAATCAAATGAACCATGCACATGATTTGACAGATCGCATCTTGCTCAAAAGCAAATAGTGGCACATTGTAGAATAACTGAGAGTTGAGATAACGAGAAATAAAAGTTGAAACTAAACCCTAAGTCAAGGACCGTATCTACCAAATGGTATAAATATTATTTATTAATTTATTATCAGATTATCGGTTAATGCATTAAGAAAAAACATCAAATCATTGTGAACTGATAACCCAATAATAATAATAATAATAATAAAACTTAAAGTGTTACTAAAACCGCTAAATCAATAAACCAATAAAAAATTAGATTTGGATTATCGATTTTTATTCAATTTTGAACAACCCTACTCTAGGTCCTTAATAGTTGGGTTTCAAGCTTAGGGTTGACTTACCTACTTGCTGGAGTTAGTAGGTGCATAATGACCTGAATTTTTGGATTGTGACATCGAACCATCCACAATTTTATCTATTTTTCTTTGTTTTTAAAAAAATAATGTGACATGACATTTTTTAAGAGAGAAGGGAAATTTTTTTTATCGTGGGCAGATACACAACTACTGTCAGTTGTATGAGGTCATTGGCTGCTACATGTTAATGGGACTCACATTCCACTTTCATTTCTCTTCCATTTTAACCTCTTTTTTTTAACTTTTACTTTCTCGTCTAAACTGCCTTTTTCTATTTGTTATTAACATTTAACATAATTTTATTTTTATACTGATTTTTTCTCTATCTGACATCTGCATTAAAATTAGAGTATTTTAAATTTAAAATTGTGTAGGGCTTTATTCAAAGAAATATACAATCTATCAAGAATTTTTTTCATATTCAAAGTTTGAACTCGAGACTTCTAATTAAATAAGAAGCAATATTATCCTCTATCCCATCATATGTTTGAGGAAAAACCAAAAAGGTTGTTTAGAAATATTTAAATTTAATTTTTTGGATGAGTTTTAAGGAATCGAAGAAAGTGCAACCCAAAAAAATAATAATTGTGAAATCAATTTTTTGTTTTTGCATTTATTTTCTAATTTGATTTATTTAATAATATCAAAAGTGCATTTTATATATAAAACTCATCAACTTTCTTCAATTCCTTAAAACTCATTCAAAAACTTAAATTTAAATTTTCGACACACCCAATTTGGTTATTCCTCAAATAAATAACGTGGTCGGAGATGATGTCGTTTCTTGCTTACCTAGAGCTTTCGAGTTCAAGCTTTAAATACAAAAAAAATTTGTAGACAGTAAATCTTTTCGAACAAAGTCTTAGACAATACAAATCTAAAATGATCGAATTTTAATACAAATATTGAATGTAAAATAAAAAAAATTAAAAAATAAATACGATAGAAAAAAAATAAATTTATATTAGAAGTTAACAAGTAGAAAAAAAAATGAAAAACGGTTGGGAGTAAAAAGACAATTTTAAAAAAAAAGGGGGGTTAAAAATGAAAGAGAAAAAGAAATGTAATGAAATGAAAGTGAAATGTGGATCCCATTAACATGTGACAGCCAATAAGGTCTTATACAATTATCTCGCCTATAATAAAAAAAATTCAAAACAAGGATACTTTTATCTTATATTAAAATAGTTTAGTGATATTGTAATCCTAGAAAATTAAAACAGATATAACTGGACAATTTCTAAAACATGAATTTAAGGAATTTTATCTTTAGTTTCTTGATAATTTTGGAATTTATCTGTGCTCTTAAAGAAAGGTCCTGGACTAATAAACACTGCCGTATGATTTATTTATTTTTGTTTCTTTCTTTTGAGGTTCATGCACTCCTCTTGATGTTTTATTCAATGCCTTTGTATATTTAAATATCATAAGAATTCCAACATATTTCAAAATAATTCTTTAGCCATTAGTGAGAAGAAGAAAACACAAGTGAAGAAGAAATTAGGATAGAAGAAATACAAGTGCTGTTATACAAAAAAAAACATTAAGTAGATGAACAGAAGAAAAATGTGTTTTGTTGTTGTACACAACACTAGGTCATGTTGATTATGACAAGAAATTTTGATAAAGCTGCATATACACAAGTTTGAAATTACTTAAGTTTTTTAATGCAATTTTGTACAGTAGTTAAATTGAAGAGAGAAAATGCTTGTGAATCCTTTGCACAGACTTGGCATATAATATTATAATATAAGATGTGACACTAATTAGTAACTCTATAAAGTTGATAGTAGCAATCTCAAGTAGGGACCTTGTAAGAAGGGTCAACCATTTTCAAAATGAACAAGTTGCCAAGATCACCTCTTGATACCCTGTCAAAAATTGGATAACAAATTAGAATGTGGTGACATAATCGGCCTAAAACTCATTTGACCCGTACAATCCGTTCAGAATTTAATGAGTTGAACATAAGATACATTATTGATAGACTAAATTTGGGCAAACCCAACTATCTAGACACAAAGGACTTGTTTGTATAAGTTTATGTCATATATATGAAAACTTAATTGAAAGTATTTGATTAATAATGTTTATTAATACCCTATAATAATGTCCAAATCGTCCATTTTTCACACCCTTAAGATAAATAGTATTAATATTTTAAGGTTTGTTGTTGTAGAGTAAATTTCTCTTTACTGATCAACAAAGAGCTTCTCTTTACCCTTCTTGAGTTTATAATCCACTTCATAACAAAAAAAGGACAATCTTAAAAATACATACAAATATTTCTCCATATAACAAGCCATTTAACTCCACGAATTGATATTTCAATCTCTTGGTTTCTTTATTTCTAATTATTGCAGAAAAAATTATTGCTCCATACAACATAGTCTTCAGGAAAGTTTCTGCTAGTTTGATTTTTTAAATAAAGAAATGGGAAAGAGAATAAAAAAATTGAACAAGAATGAAGAAAAAAGGGAGAGAGAAGGTGGAAGAAGCCATGGATCTAATCTGTAAACCGGAAGTAGCTGCGAGTAGGAAATATAACTTCTTTTATAAGCCAACAAAAATAACATACTCAATGAAATCCCACAAAGTGTGCCAAAGTGTGGTCTAGGGAGGGTAGAGTGTAAGCAGTTTTAACCACTACCTCTTTGAGATAGAGAGGCTGTTTCAAAGAGGTCCTAATTTAAATATTAATTTGAGCAATGTAAGCTATGACTGCTAATGTTTGATGTCTTTAGATATTTATTCAGAATTTTGTTTTATAATATTAATTTTATTTTACAAAACTGTGTACTATATGACACAGCATACACATGCAACCAAGAAACTAGAATGAAGTAGACATACCATGTTAACAGAACTAAGTGTCGGCTTCTATAGACTCAAGAATACATGAATTACAATACAATACATAAACTCACCTCAATTCTTCATCCAAGTAAGTAATTTCAAGCTCGCCTTTAGCTCTTCCAGGAGCTTTAATAGGTATCTGCCAGCCAACAACGAAGAGACGAAGAAAAGAAAAGGTTAGAAAAAAGATTAAAAAATACTGATCCATATTTGTGCTCTCATGTTATGTACACCCGCACAAACTGTCATGAAATTACATTACCAACTCATTCTATTTTTTTATTTTTTATTTTTGTATTTGGAACAGTTAAGTGTAAGAATGCATTACAAGCGAAATAACCCTTTGTTGTAAAGTGATGAGTAAAGAATGTGGAACTTACTAGTCCAGCAATTTTGAAATAATCAAACTTTACTGCCACCTTTTGTGCATTCAGCGGGGTCAAATCTGCAGTAACCTTCAGGAGATGATTGAAGATGTAAATCATAAAATTTGGAAATATGCTACTAAAGAAAGAAATAGATGAGAAGATATATGAACTTATTTTGCTAGGCCAACAATGATTTAACTTTTGGGTTTGCTTTCTAGTTAATTAATATGCTTTCTCTCTAGTCTCTTCTATAGAGAAAATGTGCAAGGAAACATGCCATTTTTATCCACTTGTTAGAACTTACAGTGACCTATCCATCGTGTTATCGTTTTCAATTGGACAAAGGTTAAGTCACTGTGATATGAAGGGTGCTCTTAAACCTTATGTAGGAAAGAGATTTGTTGGGGGTTTTGGGGTTGGGGGGGGGGGGGGGGGAGGTTAGTTGAGGATGATTATCCATAGAAGGCTAAATTTCTACTGAATTTCAGATTCATCCTAATAGACATAATACACGAACAGATTGGAACAGTACAATCAAAATTTACTGTAACACAGCTGAAGGAAAATGTAATCCGAAGTGTGTGTGGGAATATGGCATTAAAGGCAACTAACTGGAAACAACAAATTAGCAAAGTATATTCAACAGAACTACACATTATTGATCAAAAAAAAATCCTGTGCATATCTACAATAAATTAGATGTATAATTTGGTTTTATGGTAAAATTAGTGGTTTGAAGCTTTCCAAGTCTCTTAAAACATGAGAAAAGTGTAGGTTGTTTGAAGGAACAGTATATGGGATCTCTAGAATATTACTCTCCTCTTCTTCTTTATGCTTTTCACTATGTTTCTAATACCATAATTACATTCATTTTATATTAAATCTTAAACCCTTTTTTTTCTCTAGAGACTTCTTCCTGGAGAAGTTCCATCCTTTAGTTCATAAAGATCTATGGATAATTTTTATTAGGATTCCGAAAATATCAGATATGGAAGCTCAAACTCAAAAGTTACTTCCATTTGTGGTTTGTTCTATCACCAAATTTCAGGGGAAAATCAAATTTAAAGTATCACTGTCTGAATTACAAGGAAATCTAAAAATTCTCCTTTTTTCCCCATAAGTCAACCATGAATTCTAGTTTCACGTTTGTCTGAAAGACAAAAAAAAAAAAGAACAAAAAAAAGGAACTGCAAGTTCCTGGACTTTGGTCACTTAATAGAACATTTCGCAGAAACAAAAATCCAACAAAGGGGAAGGATACTAAAATAGAGAGTATTTCCACGATTACTAGTAATAGTAAATAAGGGAGTTAACTTCTCAATAAATTTCAATATAACATTGTTGGACATGTCAAAAAAAAAATTGATTCCAAATCAAGTACCTGGTTGAAGAAGGGCCATCCTTCCATATTCTGAGCCCGAAGTGTATCTACATTTATTGCTTGATAATTCAATCTAGATCGCAAAATCTTGGGTCTCTGTTCAAAATATTAAGCTATAAGTACCTTCATTTGTATAACTTTTCGAAATAACAAGAAGATTAACATCAACACAATACTGGCTACTTGATCATACAGTAGCCGAGATATGGGAACTAGAAAGTGCTAGGCACTCGGTATTTCACCCTCTTCCTTTTCCTGACCTTTCTATGCAAAAGAGCATGCAATCACATACCAATACTAATCTTGTCTTTAGTAAATACTGCCTTGTACAGTAAAATAGAAGAGACAACTAATTCCGTTCATCAATTACAAAATTGGAGTTTCCAATACAAGTAAAATTGATTCAGCTAACAGAAAGAATATTAAGTTTCTGTCAATAGATATGAATATAAACTGGCATACTTAGAATGAACATAGCATGACCATTACAGTGTTATGAAAAGCGCAAAAAAGCACGCTTAAAGCGCGCTTCAAAGCGAGGCGACCCTTGTGCGCTTTTTTATCTTGAGGGGAGGCGATCTGAAAAAAGCTCTCGCTTCAGATGAAGAAAGGCAAAAGCGCAATAAAACGCGCTTTTTATAAAATAAAATAAAAGGCGACAATTAGTTTTTTTAAAAAGAAATTAGTTTTTTTTAAAAAAATCTGAAATATAACCTTCTCTCTCCTCACGACTCTTTCCCTTCTTTCTCTCCTCGCGGCTCTTCTTTCACAATACTTCTTTCCCTCCTGACGATCTCGACTGAGGCTGCCTCTCTCTTCAACCTCGACCGAGACTGCAGGTAACTTTTTGTTCATCTCTTTTTTAGCTAATGTTTATTAGTTCATCTCTATGAGTTTCTTTTCTCCTGAAATATACAATCTTCGCCTGTGCTTCATCTCTTTATCTCTCTGAGTTTCGACTTCTCTAGTTTTTTCTTCTTCTTCTCTTCTTTTCTTCATCTCTGTTGCCTGCTCTGTTTCTAATTACTGACTGCTGCCTCTGGGTTTTTTTTCACTTCTTTTGCTTTTTTTTTTTTTTAATTTTGTGATCAGTCTAGCAGCCTTGTTGAAGAATAGGAGTTTCAATCTTTGTGATTTAATTATGTTTTTGATTTTTTTGCTTTATATGTTATGACTTATGAGTATTTTTGCGTATGTAATTTCTTTCAATCTAAGACTATATTACCTCTATTTAGTTATTTATTATTATTTTATTTTTATACTAAATGTAGCTTTTTTTTAAAAAAAGTGTGCGCTTCACTTCACGCTTCTCGCTTCTGTGAAGCAAGCCCTCGTCGCTTTTTTCCGCTTCTCGCTTTCCAAAACACTGACCATTCATTGGTGAATAATTATCCTACAGCCATAATATTCTATTGTAAACTGCATATGCCATTAATTGGTAACAATGGCAAGTTGATCTGGACTCTGGTGACTACTTAGACCAAATAGGGTCCAATTCAGAATGATCTGAAGGATCTTGTGTTCTCCTCATAAAGATGATAGTTCATTACATGAGAATAGTGCAAGTGATTAAGAATGGGCCTTAAACAAGTATTTTATGTGATAACCCAATCCTTAGTTTGGAGCATGTGTGTTCCATTTTATGTTTTGGAACTTCCTATTTGGTTTAATATTTTGGGACTTGTTTGTACAGTTTAGGTTGAGATCTGAGGGGTTTCGTATACAATTTTTCATTTCAGCTGATGCTGATTTCTGGTACAGGCAATGTTATCACGATCAAAGTTAAGGAAAATGATGTGCATCACAATTGTGTGCTCCCCTGCCGCAATCGCGTAGAGTAAATAGGGGGTCAAGGTCTAGGCTTTTTTGGATTTCCCAAAGGCGTGGTAATGATCGTGTTGGGTCCCGATCAACCTGTAGGCAGTCGTGTGGGCACGTGGCGATCGTGATGAAGATTCTCCGAGTATAAAAGTCAGATTTTCTGGATTCTTTCATCGTACTACTATTTTTGGATATATGGAAACTCAGTTTGAGATTGTTAAGATATGACATCTGGACCTAACTCAACCCCAAAAGCTAGCTCATGAGGGGAGGTTTGTCCAAGTCCATATAAGGAGACCAAATTCCCATCCCTCTACCGACGTGAGACGTCTTAACACTCCCCTGCACGCTCAGACCTCAATTGGAGCATGAACACTTCTAAATGGGGCCATCATCTCTGGCTCTGATACCATGTTAAGATATGGCATATGGGCCTAATGACATATCTTAACATAGTGATTTTAGACAAGGATTTGATTAGACTTTAGGATAGCAACAACAACATGCCCAGTGAAACTCCACTAAGTGGGGTCTAGAGAGGATAGAGTATACGCAGACCTTACCACTTCCTCATGGAGGTAGAGATTGTTTCCAAAAGACCCTCGACTCAAGTGCATCAAATCTTAGTAACGAAAGAAGAAACAATGAAGAAAGCATAGCAGTTAATAAAAAAAGTTATGTAAAGTCTACAAGAAACAATAACTACATATGGCAAGAAAGGTTTGACTAGTAATACGACATGCACTAATACGCCTAAATCTTCGCAAGGCAAGACAACACTTAACCGCTACTAACCTTCTACCTCAATATGTGACCTCCACTCCATCCTATCTAGAGTCATTTCCACGATAATATGAAGTACCATCATGTCTTATCTGATCACCTCTCCCCAGTACTTTTTGGGTCCACCTCACCCCTCTGCATACCTCGTACAACCAACACCCGATTGCACCTCCTTACTAGGGCAGCACACCTCCTTTTTACATGCCCAAACTATCTCAGACTAGCTTTCCTCGTCTTGTGGCCACTCCCACCCTCTCCTAGATAATCTCATTTCGAATCTTATCGCTCCTAGTATGTCCACACATTTATCTCAAAATTTTCATATCCGGAACATGCATCTTCTAAATATATGAGTTCTTGATTGGTCAGCACTTCACCCCTTACACACTCTGTAGAACTTATCTCTAAGTTTAGGTGGTACTTCTTGTCGCACAGAACATCAAAGGCAAGCCTTCATTTCATCCATGTTGCCCCAATGCAATGTGTGACATCATCGTTAAATGTCCCCACCACCCTAGATTATGGACCCAAGATACTTAAAACCCTCTTTTTACTGGTCTATGCTGTAAGCGTCACTTCCACATTTGCTACATCCAAACAACACTAAATTTGCACTATAAAAACTTCATTTTGCACCTGCTCTACCTGAACCCTTTAGACTCCATAACTTGTCTATAAACATCCAACCTAGCATTAACTCAGTCTCGTATCTCATCAATCAGTACTATATCGTCTGCAAATAACATACACCATGGAACCTCCTCCTGAATTGCGTCAACTCATCCATCACCAAGGCAAAAAAAAAAGGGCTAAGAATTGATCCCTGATCCCTGATCCCTAATGCATCTGCAGTACTCAGAGTCTCCTCTCACCCGGTCTAACCCGAGTATTGACTCCATCACACATCTCCTTATTCACCCTAATATAAACATCGGGCCAGTTTCATTTCCAGATATGTTTTCCACTCTTCCAATTGGCCTCATCTTTATATGGATATCCGATGTGATTGAGATTTCAAATCTCCATCCTCCTTCATCAATGTCAATTAATGTTTGACAGCAACACTCTATGGGAGGCTTTCTTTATGTATATTCTGGCCCAAGTTAACTGGTTCATATTCTTTGTGTCCTCATCAATTCCCATAAAGCCCCACTTAAATTCCCAAATGTTATTAAACCTGTTTAATGACCATGCATGTGTTCGCGGTGTTATCAAAGGCGAACAGCGCATAAAGCTCAAAGGTCCGTGATGCTTTAAGCGCAAAGCTCAAATAAAGCATGGGCTTTAATGAAAAAAGCCGCAAAGGGAGAAAAAGATACAATTATATATGTTTAGTCCAAGACAAATAATTATAATCATGAATGACACATTTATGACCAAAGAAATAGAATTATTTTATGATTAAGTGAAATATCAATCGTTTAGTGTCACTTCTTCATAAGAGGCTCATTATCAAGGAAAAGTTTGCCTTAAAACCTTGATGACAACACTGAAGCGCACAAAAAGCAAGGTCAAGCGCTCAACATGTTTTGAGCCTCGCTTCAGGGCTTAAGCGCGCCTTTGATGATACTGATGTGTTGGGATCCCAAAAGCTTTAATCATGTGATGTTCTTCTTTCTTGGGTGCGAGTTCTGATCCAGCGATCAAAGACCACCATTGAAGAGTCAACCGTCTCCCGTTCCAAAACCAATGACCAGCTATAACCGCCTCCTTCCTCGATAGAAGCTCAAAAATGAATTGATTATGGTTCACCGGTATCACCTTGAAGGTGAAGCACATTTTCCATCTACTAATGAACCATTTTTGTATAGCTTCCGGATTGTGCTATGATGAAAGGAATTGTTGAAGCATTCGACCAAACTTTAGGCTATAACTTGAGAGCTTTTCATATCCAGATCTGCAACATTACCATTTCAGGTTTCATTGGGAGAAACCTTGGTAAAAGATGCCAATTGTGGAAGCCTACTCAACATGTGATATTCATGGGGAAGAGAGATTAAATCTAAGACTGCTGTGATTTCCCAGAAATTGAGGAATTTTGGTGGCAATGTCTCGAGGAATTTTGGTGGGAATGTCTCCCCATCCTTTGTTTGTACAACTTCTGGGAGAATGATTGCATTTTTCTAGTGACCTAGACATGTTTCAATCCATACAAAGCAGCCAAAGTTGTTATAATTTTGATAGACTCTATAGATATATGTATTGAATGTCCTTCCCCGTCTCCTGTACAGATTTCCATTTCCTTTCAAAGCATCGTATAGATTCTCACAAACTCATAAAATGTGTATATACAGTTGAATGGTGACATTCACAAACTCAACATTTTACCCAGCTTGGTACGAATTTTAACAATGTATACAGTTCCATTAAAGGACCTAGAAGCATAATTTTCATGACATTCAGTAAAACACTTGAATGATGGTTATAGTTTTCACCTGAATCTGTAAAATAGACTTTGATGTAGTGTATATAAGTTCCCATTTTCCATTAAGCAGAGTTGAGTTGAGGGGCTCCTTTGTTGGATTGCAAGCTTCAAGTCTGCAAGCAATCTAATCAAATAACATTGTGTTGAGAAACTAAAAGAAACACACAATCAGTCAGAAAACTAAACCTAAACTGGATAATTGCAATGAGGTGAAGCAAAACCTGATCAATTATCTGCTGGTCTTGAGGAGTGGCGTCAGCGCCACGATCAAGAGGTTCAATGGCTTGAAGAAGCTCTTGTTTAATGGGTGTAGGGTCTTTGGTCTTCTTGTTGAAGAAAGAAGGGAAGAAAGAAACGTTGGTCTGCCATTTTTTATTGAGAGGAGAAAGGTTGGTATAATTATGGGAATGAGGATGAGGATTTACGATACAAGGGAAAGAGAGATGAAGTTTCGTTGAAGAAATATGTGTTAATGGAGGGGATAGTGAGGATAAGGCCATGGGAATGCTGCAAATGAATGACTTTCTACTTTCTACTTCACACCACCATTCATTTGGTGGCTCTTAAGTTAAAATTAAAAAGGAAAAACGGCATCTCCATATCATATCCATTGTGTTTTTGGAACATTGGTATTTTTACTGTTTAAAAATTAAAAGTTATATAATTTTACTTTTAACGGGTATACACATGTTATAATTTTATCTAAATATTTAATACTTATTAAATACCGAGTCAACGAATAAGATTATAACATGTATTCCTATTTAATCTTCCGTTAAAGTGAAAAACATATATATTCTAGTTTCTGAACCACAGAAATATTAATATTCCAAAAATATGACGAATGGATATCATTTACGATAGTTTAAAAATATATATTATCTTTTTTCAATTTAATAAATCAGAAATATCGAATCTCTCTAGTGTTTGAATGTTAGAAAATTGCTGACATTTTCATATATCTAAAAGTAGTAAATAAACATGTGTTACTTGTGTACTAGGTCTGTGTTTGCCTCCTTTGCTTTCGTCTTCTCCTCGTCTAGGTTTTTGCATTTTACAAGGGTAGAAACCAAAATGAGTTAATCATGATGAGATCGTGTACATTCCGATGTTCAATTGCTACATCTACACTATAAAGCCCAGCCGTTTGATCATGCAATATGAAATCATGATATAATATCATATTGAATTTATATATATATATATATATATATATATATATATATATATATATATATATATATATATATATAATATTAATGAGAATCAAAACAAGGTGATGTGACATCTATATATGGCCTCCATTTGTTTCTTCTTCTTCTTCTTGTCTTTTTTTCTTCATTTTTTTCATAAAATAATTTCTTTATTAATTAAAAATTCAATCATATTTAATATTGTAATTATATGAAATGAATTACAAAAAAATTCATCTATTGACATTTTCTACTTAAATAGCATATCTTTTCAATTCCATTTTAACTTCTTTTATGACTTATTTATTTTTAATTATTAATCATCTATGAAGATGTTGCATAGTCATTTCCATTTTTTCATTCTTTTTTTTAGTAGTATAATTTTTTAATTTTATTTTATTCATCTCTCTCTTCATAAATCATGTACTTAAGTAATCAAAAAAGAAGATATAGAAAAAATGATGTCACGATATGACCTTCACTTTGATGAAGATCACAGATATATTCTTGAAAGATTCATCACATTATTTGTTACAAGTTTAACAAAATGAAGAAAGAAACTTAATTATCTTGGAGATTCATGCGTAGAGAATTAGAGAGTTATAGTAATATAAAATTTTGAATGATTTTCAAACATTTTGAAATTTATTGTTGTATTATTTTAATTTCAGTTAATATTATTTTGTTCTCTTTTATTTTATTTCTTTGTTTTGAACAAAAAATGATTTTTCTATTAATTATTGTTGTTGTGGAAGATAAAAAGAAGCACATTTTTTTGTATATATATGTATATCTATCTAATTAATATTTTAGATTTTTCCATGGTTGAATTAAAGGTATATTACCTATGGTACACTTGTTTTTATATCTATTGAATATTGTCTCTAAAAATATATGATATGGTTTATTATATTAGTAATCAATCACAAAATAAATGAATAAATATTCTTTTTAGTATTGAATATTTTTAATGATTTATTCTAATTGAGCACACCCAATATCACTTTGTAAGAATACACTAAATTGTTGTTGTTTTAATCAAACATATAAACTTTGCATTTTTTAAGTTAGTAATGAAACCGTATGAGAATATATGTAAAGTTGTGATTAATAAAATTAATTTTGAGTAGAACACTTTTTTTATTGTATTTTTTTATTAATAACATTTTAAGTTTCTTACCTTTCATTTTCTCCTATTATTATAAATAAATAAGGGAGAAACTAATCTTACAAGCATAATTAGAACTTTGAAATTAGCATTCCTAAAATTAATCTCATTAATTTTCTTTCTTAAAATAAGAAATATGTTACACTTTATCTTTGTAACTTATATTTTCACAATATCTATAACTCCTCATAACTTTCAAATTTTAAATGTGTAAACTTATGATTATTGTATTTCTTAATGAATATTTATATAAATGTGTATTGTAAGACAATCCTTTTTGAAGCAAATGTTAATGTATTTTAATTCACATTTGATGTACTCATGACGAGGAAAATGTTATGAATTATGCATATTGATTTTTTTCTTGCTTTTTAATTTCTCATGTTGAAGAAATCAATTCTTGAGTACAGAATCTTAGGCTCTAAATTTATATTTTCATAATCTTTATAACTTCTCATAACTCTTAAATTTTAAATGTGTAAACTTATGATAATTAATTGTGTTTCTTAATGAATGTCTAATTGTAAGACAATCCTTTTTAAGGCAAATATTAATGTATTTTAATACACATTGAATGTACTCGTGATGAGCAAAATGTTATAAATTGCTTTTTAGTTACTCATGTTTGACCTTCTATGTTCAAATGTTATGCACTTTCATCTTTGGAATCCACCATTATGACCTTTTTATAGTATCGAAGAAATGTCAATATGAATTTTATATATATATATATATATATTTTGGGGATTAAAGAATAGAAAATTCAAAAGAAATATATTAAAATTAAATTTTGAATGAACTTGATTAAGACCATGCAATACAATGTCACAAGTTCTCAAATTGTATTGCAACTTATTCCTTAAAGAAAAGATAAAAGAACTATGGTAAAAAAAATATTTAATTTATTTGTCAAAATCAAAAATAACAATTGAAAAAAAATAGTGTAATTTGATGAATTACGTTTTTATTGTTTTATTTACTTATTTATTTATCCTATTTTAGTTTATCTATTTTTATTTCACGTTTTATTTTACATTAACTGAAAGAAGTAATTGAAAAACAAAATCTAATAAATGAAAATATTGATCCTATAATTAAAGATTTTGTAAATTTTTGAGTCACAACTGTTCTCTTTTTGCTTTGATTTACTTATATGTTATTTGCGCTCCAGCATATATTTTAATGTTGAATACTTATATTTTTTATACTATGAAAATCATACTTTTATAACTCTTTTGAAGTATATTAAAATATAATTATCAAAATAAATAAAGTGTGAATAGAAATAATTTATATATATTTTATGAATTTAAAAATAGGACAATATATATACCAAAAAATATATTCATGCATTTGTTAAATTAATTTATTTTTGTTAAATATGTATCTTTTGAAAATTTTAAATAAAAGATGAATACAAGTGACTAAATAAGTTGATTTGATTTTTAATATATTATAAAAATAAAACACAAAATTTTTTACATAAAAACTTTATGATTAAAATTTAAATTATATTTAATATATTTAGTTATGAGTATTATATCTTAGGGTGTCCATGAATTAATTTTATATAGAAAGAAGTGCAATCATTGATTTGAGAATGCAAGAAGTATATTTGAAATGAAAGCATCAGAATATTCAATTTAATTAACTTTAAATTTTATTATTCTTTATATATAATATGTAAAGAGGTTTATTATCTATCATATATTTTTACGTAGTTTATATAAATCTATTTATCTTTATATTTCATATAAAAGATATAGATAAAAATATAGTAAACGAGTTAATAATTTTTTAAGAAAACATATTCTCATTCGAGGTTGAATATATTGAAACTTAATAATCAGTAGTAAACATTTTGGATAACTTTCTGTAAAAAAACATATTTGACGAGTGATAACATTTATCTTTTGATATAAATGCAACTAAAGAATCTAAAATACCAATAGATGTGATTCATGCAAAAAACATATAAATTCAAATTATATGTTTAAAAAGGAACAAGAACAATTGAAAAATGAAATATTTAAAGGAGTTTTATCATATCAATATGAAAAAGAATAATAAGACGCATAGGTGTATTTCATTAGTATTTTTCAGTTACTTTATAATATAATTCATAAATACTCAAGAAAAAAAGTACACCAGAGTATATGTTATAATATAAAGATTCAAATTCATTGATATTCCAATAAATGTACAAAGTGACATATTAAATGCATGTCTAAACCAAAAAAATTACAAAAAAAAATACATCTTGACATATTGATTAATAATGTACTATCCCTCATTTAATAAATTTGTTAAGTTTCATTTCAATCGTCATCTTAAAACGACCTCATAATTAATATATAATTAAAAAAGATAAAGTGATAATATTAAGTTTGGAAATAAAGAGAACTATATAATCCTTTAATATTTATTTTAAAAACCGCGTGAAGCGTGGCCAAATTTTCTAGTTATAAGATAAATTGAAGTTTTGTTTAGACATGCGATATAAAAAAAATTTATATTGTATATTTTCTCATAAATATAAGAATTTCATAAATTGTAAAATTATTTAAATAGTCTCAATTGTTTATTCAATCTTATCAAATAAACAAAAAATTATAAGATCGCATAATAAAGTATTACAAAGTTATATGTTCTCCACTTAATTAATTGTTTCATTTGTAACTTTAATTGATCAAACTTTAGTTCAATAAAAAATAAATTGAATATAATTGTAGTGTACTAATCTTTAATATAATTTTATCACATAGTACGACAATCTTCTCACGTTAAACTTGCATTTCTCTATCATGGGACCAAGAAGACAAACCAATATTGTTAGTTTGAGTCATTTGTTGATCAATATCATTTGCAACTATATTTTGATGCTCATAGACCATAAGTAATTATGTAACACCATACAAGTTATGACAATTTTAACTTGTGTCAATATTATATGGTTCATGTCTTGTTTCACTTATGTACAATGAACATTTTCGGTGCATTAGTTTCGTACAAAAATTAAACATATTAAAAGTAGTGATTATCAAACATACATCTCCAATTTTGTCCTTTTTCATATTAAATTTCTTTAAACATTTTCATTTGTAGCCAAAAGAAAAAAGAAAAATCTCTCTGTCTGCATTTATATTCACCAAATCAATTCTTAATTTATCATTTATATTCACCAAATTGAAAGCAATAATTGATGA